GGAGGAGGAGCACAAGAACAAATATTTTGGGAATCAAATGAACAAAATTTCTCAACTTCTCATGAGAACGATCTCATGATCATAGGGAGAACTTCTATTCAATCAGACACTCGCCTCATACTCTCATAGAGAATATCTTTCATCATCTTTCATATTTCATCTTTCATCAACAGTTCCTCATCAACAGTTTTGCTTCACCTGGATGCGAACAGTGACCGCGTCGATGGGGAGGGTCACTGGAAGGTGAACCCATTCGGCAAGACAGCTGGAGGAACAAAGTGACGCGATCAGCAATGAAGGTGTGGACGCAGAGGAGATGTAAAAGATCAGGAGGGAGGAGGTAGGAGGGAGAGGAGGAGAGGTAAGAAGAAGAGGGAGGATGGGAAGAGAGGGAGGGAGGGAGGGAGGGAGGGAAGGGAGGGAGGGAGGGAGGGAGGGAGGGAGGGAGGGAGGGAGGAAGGGGAGGAAGGAAGAAGCAGAACGGATAGCCGTTCAATGACAGGAGGAAAACTGGGAGCGAAAAACAAAAACAATGAAGCTTAGTAAGTAAAATTACCCGCACAACACGCTGCTGGCTGTGCCGACGTCCCCGAAAAGTTTCTTCCAAGTCTGGGAGGGCAAGTAAGAAGTTTTGAAAGGGAAGAAAGAGGATTAGAGAGATTAGGGAGTAAGAAACTTTCAAAGGAAGGAGATTATAAGAGTCGAAAGACAGGATTACAAAGGAAGCAAGAGATGCTCTGGGATCAATCAAGATTTTGAAGAAAATACAGAAGATTTTCAAGAGAATACAGAGGATTTTCAAGGGAATAAAGAATATTTTCAAGGGAAGAAAGAATATTTTCAAGGGAAGAAAGAAGATTTTCAAGGGAAGAAAGAGGATTTCCAAGGGAATAAAGAATTCTTTCAAGGAAATAAAGAAGATTTTCAAGGGAACACAGAAGATTTTCAAGGAATAAAGAATATTTTCAAGGAAATAAAGAAGAGTTTCAAGGGAAGAAAGAAGATTTCCAAGGGAAGAAAGAGGATTTTCAAGGGCACAAACAAGAAGCGCTCAGTAGGCTCTATCAGGTTCAACAATGTCCTTACAGACCTTGAGGATATAAGTGTAACCCCAGAAATAGATCGCTTTCTCTGTTGCAGACTGAGGCAACGTCAATTCACCCGCAAGCTCACTTCGCCTCCCTCCTTGCTGCTCTCTGCTCTTCGCTCCCTCCCTGCCCTTCCCTCTATGATCCCCACAACCTCCTCCCATCCTCAACCATCGAACTATCTTCTTATCTCGCTAACGTCTCTCCTCTAGCTTCTCCTCGTCCTCCTCGTCCCTTCTCCACCCCTCTTCCTCCTCGCCCTCGCTCCCTCGCTCCCCATTTGATCCGTCTATCATCTCTCCCCTCCCCTTCACTTTCCTTCTCCTTTCTCCACCTCTCTCTCCTTGTTTTCTCCCTCCTCCCTCCTCCCCTTCACACAAGAGGTCAACCTGGATAGCGCTGTACTGGAAACCTTTGTAGAAACCAGGCACACCCTCGCTCTTGTACCTGGTCGAGCGAGCAATCAGCAACGACCAACACTCCTCCCTCTCCTTACAAGTCTTTGCTACGGAGATCATTGTCGTCGGATGCTCCTCCTCTTCCTCCTGTGGGAATTTTTCAACATTCCCACATGTTATGAAGCATTACAACGAAAAACGCGTCCATGATACAATGACATCAACATCACTCTACAACCAACACCATCAACACATCACATGTATACCTTCTTCACGTTCTCCTGCTCGGATTGATTTTGCTTCTTCTTCATAACATCATGTCAATCGTTTCTTGCTCCAATGCGCTCAACTGCGTCGCTGACCTGCATTGCCTGCAGGCGGTTCTTGCAGATCTCGATCGGATACAAGCTGCAGGGCAAGTAGAGGAGGAGGAGAAAGGTCAGAGCGCAAACAGGAGGGAGAGGAGGAGGAGGAGGGTCAGAGCGCGAGCAGGAGGGAGGAGGAGGAGTGGATGGAGAAGGATCGAGAGATTACCATGACGAAGAGAAGGCGCCACCACAGGCTGCTGAGAGCGCCTCTGTAACCAGACATCGTCTTCGTCCTCCTCGTCCTCGTCCTCGTCCTCGTCCTCGTCCTCGTCCTCGTCCTCTTCGTCCTCCTCGTCCTTCTCCTCCTCCTTGGTTTCTACTTCCTCCTCGCCCTCGTCCTGGTCTTTGCCATTCTTGTCCTCGTCATCCTCCTCCTCCATCTGTCATCTCCCTTTTCTTCTTCCTTTGTTGGAATCATCAATCTAAACGATTATCGACTCCATCGCCCTCTGCCTCCTGGTTCTCCTCCCGTGCTCTTTTCCTCCACATACTCGTTCTCCTCCTCCTCCTCATGATGATCGATATCTCGTCCTCACCATCATAATCTCCACCTCCATCTTCATCACTATCACCATCATCATCATCATCATCATCATCATCATCATCATCATCATCATCATCATCTCCATCTTCATCACTATCACCATCATCTTCACCATCATCTTCGTCATCACCATCACCATCATCATCTCCATCTCCATCGCCATCGCCATGATCATCATGATCATCCATTCACAATATCCTTCATTCTCTGCGAAATACCTTCAATCGCTTCTGTAGAATTGCTCGCCATGCTAACAGCAACAACCTGCGCTCATGATGTCATCGCAAGCCCTACTCCTCCCATCATCAAGTTCTTGCTCCCTGCTCACCGCATTTCATCCCTCCCTCTCTGTCCTCCTGTCCCCTTCCCCATCCCCTTCTCTCTCTCGCAGCCCCACCCCCCCCCCGCCCGCCCCGTCCCCTCCCTGCTGCCTGCCGGCCTGCCCTCGCTCCCCTCGTCCCCGTCCCGTCCCCGTTCCCCCGTTCCCCCGTTCCCCGTTCCCCCGTTCCCCGTTCCCCCCGTTCCCCCCGTTCCCCCGTTCCCCCCGTTCCCCCCGTCCCCGTTCCCGTCCCGTCCCCGTCCCGTTCCCCCGTCCCGTCCCGTCCCGTCCCGTCCCGTCCCGTCCCGTCCCGTCCCGTCCCGTCCCGT